TTCCACGAAATAGATCATCCCATCTTTCTGAACACGTAGCCGGTGGCAGATTTCCGATTATCCGCATTTCATCCCCAAACAGCATCCGTGTAACCCGTTAATTGGGTTGTTTAGGGGTATTGAGGTGAAAACATATTCGTTATCTGCATTAAAAATGGATCCGAAATCCAAAATTTTATCAATTTTGGTACACTGGAACTATTTTAAATAAGTACGATTACATTAGCAAAAATCACCATCTTAGCGCCCCTTGTTGGGACTTAGCATGGGAGCGAGCTATCAACGAATAGATTTAGTGTCAACGATCAAAAATTTAAATCTTGATTCAAAAATCGAGATGAATGTCTACGGGATCGATAAAGATATTGTTGTGCTCAGAAAACGAAGCTCTATCAGATAATGTTTAAAAATTGGTTTATTTTTCAAAGTTAAACAACCCAATTGCGTATTGCCTTCCGTCAAGGATGACACCATAGAGGTAACTCTAAGACCACTGGGTCCCGAAGAAAATCATTATTATTTTTGGCTCACTCAGTACCAGAACAACGGTCCCAAGCAGTCCCAAGCTATTTCACTCACACCTGCATGTTCTGCATGAATCCACACACCCCTGATGTTATCTGTCAAACTTTCATAGCGAATCAAAACAAATATAGTGTAGTAATAGAATTTCAACTAGAATAGGGTACGTTAATCGTTTGCTTGGGACCAATAGGCTACTAAAGTGGTGAGCCAATTTAAAATCGTTAGTTTCGTATTGATTGTTGATGCCACCGCTGCCTTGTATGGGATGACCTACATCTCTTTAACTTCTTTAGGATCGGATGTACACGTCGTTCTATCGAGTTTAGTACTACTGTCTGCTGGAGTTGAACAGGATTGCAGTTCGCTAAGTTGAATCACTCGTGTATTTCTTGCACGTAATGTTGCTGATCCAGCCAGAGTTTGCCTTTTACGAGTGATCCTTAGACCTAAGTAAAGCTTTGCTTCTCCTAAATCCTTCATCTTGAAGCGGCTGTTAAGGAAAGTCTTCAATTTCTTCTTCATCTCTTGATCGTTGGTGAATATAAGAAAATCGTCCACGTAGATGGCTAAAAACATCATCCAGGGATCCAATACCGATCGCTTCAATCCAAATTCACACAATGCTCCGTCTAGCTGGAGATTCCAAGCGCGGCTTGACTGTTTCAAAGTGCTCTCTTCAATCGACAAACCTTTGACCGATCCTGGATGAAGCCCTTTGGCTACTCCATGTAGATAACTACCTCCGTCGACTTTCATTGCGGGAATGCGGTTACTGCGTCCATTTGATCCACGTCCAAATTAAGTTAGACCGCCAGTGACATCAGATATCGCGGATCGTCGAACCCTTCACTACCAGACGCGCCTTAAACAGTGCGCAACAGTCAGGTTCAATGAGTCATTATCATATGAATATGAACTGCCATATGCCTCATCATTCACTGCATCGGGAGAGTCTGAATGATTGAAAGGTAAACGAGTCACTGACAGCCGAGAACTCAGTCAGTACTTGTTTTGAATAACTGAGGGTACATTTTCTCAATTACAAGCTGTGTGAGCGAAGGCAAGCGGTGTGAGTCGCCTGTTCGTGAGTGACCGAATGTTTTTGTTGGCTCTTTCATTGCCTCGTCCTTTGCCGTTTGGTACAACGGTCTGCACAGAGCAATGGATTGAATAGTGCAGTGCTTTCACACTCAGCCTAAGTGGTCAATAATTTTACGCTCTGGCCTCAAATCGTTCCAACTGACCATAAAGCCCTCGTTTGGTATTGTACACCCACTTATTGCGAATTTCTTTTCAACCCATTGGAAAATCCGTCAGCACCCAGGTTTCGTTCTTCTCCAACGTTTGAATCTCTTCGCACATGGCCTTCATTTATTGCTCTGTACCTGGTCGCTGGAGAACCTCTGCGTATCTATTCGTCTGTCGTCTCAGAATGCCTTTCGCCGAAAATTTTTGACATGGGGCCTGTTAAATCATCAGGACCAATAATTGAACTAAATCACTTAAAATCTGTATATTTACTTGCCTGGAGGTTGACGCATCAGCTGATCTATTTTGTTGCGGTGAGAGCGCGAGATCAGGTTGAGGAACCGGGATGTACCTCTACATCGGATGGTCGTCAATTTCTAACCAAGAATGCAACTCCATGGACTCTACAGTTTGATGCGGTAAACTGTTCGCTGTCGCATTGAACGCTCGTTCTTCGATGATGAACACCACGTCTTTACTATTTGTATTTGTATATTGGAAAATTCAACTGACAATTATTGTCTAAATGAATAAAACTTAAACTAAACAGTTACGGTCAACGGTACGGAAAAGGCCAAGTAACCGATGACGAAACAGTAACCGATGACGTCAGCTGATGCATTGAAGTCGAACATATAAAAAAAAATGTTAAATTGCCGGCTGATTGCTCGAATTGGCTAGTGTTGTGTATAATTTCGGCACCGTGGTTCCAAAAACAGAAAGTCGCGTTGACGAAGAGGCCTCTCAGGGGCATACATATTTAGCTGAGCCAGCAGTGTTGGACAGTCAATGTCACCCGTAAGCAGCTTTCCAGCGAACATAGCTTGAGCGACCGTCCGTCTCACCTCTAATGGTTCGATTCCCAGGAGACGGCAACGCTCCTCGTACTATGGCAAGTTTGTTGGGTCACGCCAGTTGAGGAAACAAAGAGCATATCTCACAAACTTGCGTTGAACGGATTCAATTCTCGTGATCTAGTTAGCATGGAAAGGGCACCAAAAAACTAAACTTGACTCCGATAAGGATCGCACAAGCGAACAGTAGAGTGACCTGAGGCATAGCGGGTCACGGAACTCGTCGGCAATTTTGAAAATAAAGCCCAATTGTCGATTAGCTCTGGAGATGATGTCATTGTAGTGGATGCTGAAAGTGAGTCTGCAGTCCAAGGTAACGCCGAGATCCGTTATGTGCTCTACACGAGCAAGACAGCGTCCGTAGAGAACATAGTCAAACATGGTTTGTTCGATTTTTCGGTGATAGGAAATAATGCTACATTTTTCGATGCAATGTTACATATTCTGGAGATCCAAACAGTCCGAGAGACTTTTAATAATTTTGTAGATTTTCGTATCGTCTGCATAGAAAACGCGGCATCCTGATGGTATCAGAAAGGCGACGTTGTTTAAAAAGATCTAAAACAGTAGCGGTCCTAGGTTACGGAACTCCCGAGTTGTTTGAGAAAACATCCGATTCCGACGCGCCACCGCCATTCACCAAGTAAGATCTGAACCAATTCACAGCCGCTGACGAGACGCCAAGTATCTCCAGCTTGACAAGCAAGATATTATGATCCACCGTGTCAAATTGCAAATTAGATCCATATACGCAGCATCGACTTGCCATCGTGAATCCATGCATCGCAAACAGTTAGAAGTAAACTGCACCAGGTTCGTGGACACGGAGCGCTTCGGGTGAAAGCCGTGTTGTTCTGTATCGATATAATTTTTGCAACACGCGAACAGAGCATCATTTATGATAATCTCGAACAGTTTTGAGCAGGCACACAGGGAGGTGTCAGTTCAGGGGGCGACCGAGAGCTTCAGTTTGCGTGGTGCGGCTATCACCATGTCTTCTGAAATGCGCGGAATATCGAAACTAAACACATAACGTGGCATCCCAACAGTAGCATCCAGCACTTGTGTCGACGAAGCGGAGAAATCGTGAAACACTTGCCTGAAATGACGAGCAAACAAGTCGCCTTTTTCTCTTCCTTACTTATGATAACCTCGTTTTTAATATGGTTGTACACTCTGAAACCCTTCATACTTTCGACATAACCAACGAAAATGCCCTCAATGGATTTTGGATCGAATTTCTGCCGCTTTTGTTTAGGACAGTGTGCCATTACTTGGACTCTCAGATGCTTATGGTCTGATTGCTCCAGTGCACAAGCAGGACATCTGTGCACAAGACATGCTGCGGTAGACACGGCTTCCGTCCAGAACTTCATCGGTAGTCCAAAATCGATCATCGCTTTCTCAACCAGCGAACGGTTCATACGCTCCGCTATTCCGTTCTGCTCGGGCTATGAAATGAAAGAAAAGAATATGTGATACCATCACTACGGACCAGTGTCTTCGTCTCCTATGCAGGCCTACTGCATGAGATTAAGCTCTCCCACCTTTGACAAGCTGCTTAAGAATGGCCTACGAGGGGGTAATTTTTTTTTAACTTCTTAATAAAACGTTTTTTAATTCATTCAATTTGGTTTTAACGAATTTTTTCGACTCTAGCTTTGATCTTGTGATCTCAATTTGCACCCAAATTTATTGCAACTTGTTAAAAAAAATCAATAGATAAATAAAGAAACATCTTTTTGGATTAAATATTATTATTATCGAAAGAATTATATTTTTACAGCGATGAAAATCTATAATAAATGAGCCCTTCTTTGAATCATTTGCTGTTGTTCTATGTCTTGATAGCCAGTTGACCACTATGATTAAAATAGTTGCTATAATTTTTAAATTAAAATATTTGGGGCCTCCAATTCCCACGATCATGGTCTTATCAAAGTTCTCAAGATTTTGAACAGAAACTAGAATTTTACAAAACTTATAAACTATTAAATAGTAAATAATTATAAATTTAATTATCCTTCTTGATCTCCTTATTTAAAACTACAGGAGTTCTTCTAAGCCATATGGACGGAAATTACTGTATGTATGACAAAAATTTTCGGGGAAATGGTACATTCGGGGAAATGTCATTCAGGGAAAGTGATTTCGGGGAACTGAGTTTAGGGGAAAAGTCGTAAAATCGCAAAATAACGATGCCAGTTGGTAGGGGAAACATTCCTCTACCGTTGTCGGGCTGTCGTTACTTACCATATGTGAGCTTTTATTCGCCAGCAATCGACCGCTAAAACCCATTGTTTACAAAAGCAATTTCGCCCATGTGAAATGTTAGCACTGATTTATTGACTCACAAAAGCCTGAAAATCTCACCTCAACCGCTGTATCACGTGGATCACCAACCGTTGGAACATCTGCCGGACCATTTGATTGGGACACTGGATCAGGACCTGCACGGGCCACCACGGTTCCGCGGACATGTGACTCAGGAACCACTCGCACGCTTCCTGGCTCGCGTTGAATTGTTTGGTAAGGAGCTCCACCCAGAGGACCATCGTGGGCTGGTTTGGAACGAACAAAAAGGCATTCAGTAACTGCGGTTAGATGGGCGGAGCCTGCTTCCCTAACACGGACTTCAGAATCAAGGCAATGAACTAAGATTTTGGCGCACTGGTTTTCCCTCCGTTTTCGATGTACAATTACACAACTTTTTCGACATGACATACCTCGCATTTGATGCAATATTAGAAAACAATACTCACCTTCTCTTTAGCGTGTATGAACGTCTCGATGAAGAACGACACCGACAACTGCGCGGCAATGCATGTGATATCCGGCAGGGCCAACAGCGTTTGCGGAATATGACCACATATTTGCCACATGAAACTGTAAAGACAGTAGGATTAGGTTCAACATTTCCAGTAAAACTACCATTTACCGAATCTTACTTGAAATAGGTATGCTCGAAGATGTTTCTATCCTGCAGGAAGTGTCGGTTGTCCTGCCAGATCCATTCTTCCAGCTCTTTGCTGAGAATTTTTCGTTTCCGTTTCGGAGGCGGGCCTATTCGGACGAGTCCGAGCCCGAGCCCGAGGGAGGGCCCGGAGCCGAGGGACGAAACCGATGCCGATGACGAGGCGGACGATGATGAGCACGGTTGCAGGGCACTGGAGATGGTGGGCTGTTGTACGACGGCACTTAGCGGAATGCCAACATTTCCTCCGGCGGTGGCGGTCAGTGCGGAGAGCGACGAAATGGACGAATAGGATGAAGATGATGGCGATGGTAGCATCGAGGGCCCCAGGAGTGGACCCGATGGCGGAAGGATGCTTAGCGAGGTGGCTTGCAGTGCGGCCAGCGGTGACGGTGTAGACGATGATGGGGCAGCACTCGTAACGGTGGCCAGTGATGGTACGACGCCAACAGCACTTCGTAGGCTAGTCTTAACATCTATATCACATTTACTTAGGTTACTTAGGTTATCTACTACCGATGATACTTCACCGGGATGTTGTTTCTGGATGAGTTTCTCAGTCTGATCGGCATCGCGGATGTTTGACGGCAGCGGAACATTTGAACTATCGGCGGCTTCTTCCGACAGTTTTTTCGGCACCTCCAAAACGGACTCGCCTTCCGTTTTGCTAGCGCTTGATGATGGAATGTCGGTGCTAGTGCAAATTGTGTTGCTGTTGTTGCTGCTACCGACGCTGGTGCATGTTGCGCTACCAGCATAGGACGACGATGTCACTGGGGGCTCACTGCTACTGCTAGTGGTGGTTGCCGTAACCGGAATCGATACCATCGAAGTGGACGAACCCGGTGACGAGGATGACGCCGAAGTGCAGGTGGATGGCTTGCTGGCTTGATCCCGCTGGATGTTGGAACCCTTGTTCGATCGCCACTCGTAGAACAGCATGTAGGCCGAGTTGGTCTTTTCGAAGCTGAAATCGAGATACTTTTCCGTCACCGAGTCGTAGGTTTTGCTCTAAAAAGAAAAGTAAAAGGTGAACATTAGTAGATGGTTCGACCATGTCGCTCTCCCGAGGAAACTTACCGTCATTTCCCCTCCAAAGCACTCGGCCGCAATCTGCGACGGATCGAAGAGCTTGACTTCGGCATCGTTGAACAGGAACCACCGTTCCTGATGGTTCGGATTGCTGTCTTCGTTGCGCTCCTTGATGAAACTGTAGTAATGCCCTCCGTCGGCATTTCCCGTGTGAACCGTCACCCCGACCAGATCGTACTCGTAATGTTCGTTGAAATCCTCCGAGTCTTCCTCGTCCAGTGTTTGCTGTTGCTTCTGGATTTCGGCTTTCTCCGCTGCTTCGTTTTTCGCCATCGAAGATGAAACACCCTGCACTTCTTGGCCGTCACTCGAGCTGACCTTGTCCTCTTTTCGCTCTTCACCAGACAGCGAACCCATTCCGTCCGAAGCACTGGATTCGCTAACATTCCTCGAAGCCGATCGCCTCAGTTCGGACTTCCGCTTCTCCTCCTGGTAGTGATGTGGCATCAGCGTCTTCTCCACGTACCCGGACATGTCCAGCCGCATCGGAAAGCTGAAATGGGTGTTGACCTTCTCCTTCAGCATCGTCACCATGTTGAACGTGTACCGCATCGTGTTGAAGCACAGAATCTGCGGAAGTTTCTTGAAACACGCTCGCTTCTCGGCGCGGACCTTCTTGCCGCACTGGGAACACGTGTACATGTTGTCCCCCTCCAGCGTATCTTTGACGGTGACCTCGTCCAGAGATTCGTGCAGATTACGCATATCCGCCACCTGACACCGAACCGTATAGAACTCCTCCAGCGTTCGACTCACGTGACCACAATCCTGTAATGGGGAGAGAGAGAGAAAAACCAAATTTCGATTATTTCATTCTGGAAAACCCACCCAAGACTGGTGCCTAAGCTTCGTCTACAAAACTCACTAATGACACGACATTATTGCTGATGACTCCGCAGAACACTCGCTTCACCAGGGTCTTCAATTCCGGGGTCATCTCCTCCAGCTTCGATACCAGGTCGATGAAAAACTCGGCCATGTCCTTCTGTTCCCCCGTGTTCAACGGTTGATGGTCCATCTGATACACCCGACAGAATGACCGCGGACAGTAGGCCTTCCGTTCCGACTCCATCAGGTAGGCAAACATCCGCTGCAGTTCGTACAGGGTGGCCTTGTGCTTCTGTGGCCCATCCGGAGAAATCGACAGGATGGCATCCCTCGTTTGGGGAGTCATGAAAAGATGCTGGATACAGGAAGCCATGTAGCAGGTTGCTCCCAGATTAGTTAGTCCAACGTAGCCGCACTCAGATCGACCTTCGTCCCTTGGCCAGTAGTCCCAGGGATACGGCGAATGGGGACCTGCCCGGTGCTGTAGCATAAGCTTTCCGTGGAGTAGCAGGTAGTTTTTCGGAGCACTTTTACACATTTCTACCAGCAAATCGTAGGCTGCAGCGCGTGCTCCGTGGCTCTTGCACTTCGGCTTCTCGCGGTCGTCCGGGGATGGAAGCTCAAACAACGATTGGAAGATTTTCCCGATAAACTCCTGGCCGTCTTCGCTGAACTTGAACTGCGGGTCGAACTTTACCAGATTGGCCATCAAATTCAGCAAACCAAACAGTCCATCATCGGGACTTCCGTGACGACTTTCCAGATAATCTCGATCCAGGATGCTCTTGGAAACCTGCCGGCACATGGACTCGATTCCGATCGATCCGGGTTTCCGACTAAGCTCTCCTCCGCAATCCTTCACCAATTCCGGAGACAACGAATCCACCAACCGACACAACAACCAAAAGTAGTCCCGACAGGCTGGACCGTACGGTTCTTTACCTTCGTCCGGTGATAGATGATACGCTTGGCTCTGAGGTCGCATTTTTTCCGCCAGTGGCAACAGAGCTACCAATTTGGACAGCAACGGAGCCATCAATTCATAGTAGGTCTGAGCATTACCCAAACACATCCTATAGAGTGCTGCGCAGGCCTCTCTTCGTACGGCTGGTTCCGGATCATCCAAAATTAATCGCTGAACCCATGCTAGGTTGGCATCAACCTTCCACAACGTAGACCTCACATCCGCCAACGAATGGGCATAGCAAACCAACAGGTTCATCGCATAGTGAATGACCTGAGCCCGTCCGAACAGACCCGTCTTGAAGTGGTGCGGACTCAACGGATGGGATTCCTCATTCAAAATACCCGCTATCCGTTCCAGCGTTGGTCGAACCTCCATCAGTGCCAGAGTGTGCCGATTAAGTTTCGGAATGATGATGGCATTCTCGTTTTCCGGTTTGAATTCCTCCATGCCCAGCAGGCAGAGTATCCGCAGCAAGCTCGCCAGGCAATCATGACGCCACTCGTTCAGGTCGTCCCCATCCTTGGCGATGGACTGCTTCTGCAGTACACCGGAAATGAAGATCTGATAAAGGTGAGCCAGGCCACCGCACTTGATGAACTGCTCGCTCCACTCCAGCGACGCGCTGGCCGGACTGCTCGGTAACTTTGGGGGCGGTGGCGGCGAAAGTTGTGGGTGATCCGGTTGAATTCTGTGCGGGGAAGAAACGGTTGTTGGTTATCATGATAAATGTTTAAATGTTCGTCAAAAGATGGCGCCACGATAGATTTTTTTTTAATATCCTAGATTTCACCCGTAAAATAGATTGCGAATATTTGCAACAATTCTACGGTAGGAAAGCTTCATAATATTCGATTTCCAAACAGTTTTGAAGTCAATTCAACATTTTCAGCGGTGGCGCCATCTCTTGCCGAACTCCATCAACCACAAAAATAACGAAATCAAACACTTACCGACTTTCCACTTCACCGCCTGCCAACACTTCCTTCTCCTCTTCCTTCCCATCATCCTTTTGATCCCCCTTCTCCGACCCGTTCCCCTCAATCTTATTTTCCTTATTCTCCGTTTCGCTCGAGCTTCCCTTCCCATCTCCACCGCCATCACTCAAATCCATCCGCTTCTCCCCGGAAGGAGAAACGCACCTCTTACCGGGGGAAGTCATCCCTACACTACTGCTGCTGCTATTGCTGTTGCTAACTCCCAGTATCTGTGCCTGTTGTTTGGCCAGCTTTTGATTCTGCATCTTCAACGACTTTGAGGTGGAAATCTTCAACTTCAGCTGATTCTTAACGGACAAGCTTTTCGCACTGCTGGCGCTGGGTCCGATGGCTGAGCGGGATCCTCCCGGCATACCGGACGTAGTGGCAGCGATCGGGACCCCGATGGGGCCGGGATTGACTGGGGCGCTTCCTGGACCTCCACCGCTACAGCAACTGCCCATGAACTTCGACTTGCAGAGGCTTTCTACGATGTGCAGGGAGTACATGAATTTCTGCAGATTGTGCGGTTCGAGAATCTCCTTGAGAGTGTACTGTGGGATGTCCGGGCAATCCATGTCTATGGAAGGTTCCGAATCTGGTTCTTTGAAGGTGAGGTTCTTTAGGGTACTGAAGAAGGTCGGAGCCGTTGGGAGCATGGCTAGGATGTCCCATACCCTCCGGGAAAGGAGCTGGGCTTTTGTGTTGGGTTGGATTCGACCTCCTGGGCCGACCAGTTTCATGTCACCTAGGGTTTGCATTAGTTTGAACAGTTGCTCGAAGTAAGGACTTTTGAGCAGGAGCAGCGTCGGAAGGCAGTCTTTCGGAGGTGGCGGTTGCATCGAGGGATGGTCGTGATGATCCCGGCGACGACCTCCACGACTTCCCATGGAGACGTACACCATTTGGTTGTCCTTGAATCCGACATCGGCAAGGCTGCGTTCGTCGTATTCGGCGGTAATTTCCTGACCTTGGGTGATTATTCGCAGAGGTCCCTCACTCAGGAGAAGACCAAGAACCGCACCGGTTCCAGTTCGGGCAGTGGTTTCGTTGTGGGCAGATTTCACTGTACCCTGGATCGTTTCCCACCATTTGGCGATCTCCGCTTTCAGATCGGCCACCAAATCGGTAGCGTGCAGATGAAGTACGGATTTTTCCGGCACTCCTGCCGGTTGTAGAACAATTCGAATTGGAGGACCTGGTCCCTCGCTTCGCAATGCACTGTGCATACCCACCTCCTTCCCTTCCAAGGCCCACCGCCTTAAATGGTAGGCGTACCTTCTCCGGAATGTTTCCAGGTGAGTGTTCAAGAGCATCAATGCCCGCTGTACACACATCAAAGCATTCTCCGACCCCGGTCCCTGACGATTCAGCTCTTCCACAGCCTGCGTCAAGTGATTCATACACTGGGCTACAAATTGATTTTCATACTTCAGCTGTTTCTCCATGTAGTAAGTGTTGATGTACTGGATTGCCGTCAACGAAACGTCCGTATTGTACGCCCGCAACGCAATCTTCCACAAATGTTCCATTCCAACCGAGTCACTCGACTCCTGACTCTCACTGGGATGACTGATGATCTCCTCTCTTCCCAAGGTGAACAACTGTTGGAACAATCCCAACGCCACCATCGAAATCCCTTCCGGTTTCAACTCCGACAGCCTCTTCAAGTACAAATGTTGGATCGCATTGATGCCCAATGCATGAGTGTCTCCGCCTTTGACCTGACCTTGCAGCCACGCAAACAGACAATCACTGCACTCCTGATCATTAGCCAGACAAGCCCACACGGTATCGACCTGACTGAGCGTCAACTTGAAGTTTCGCGGCGATCCAACGTCGCTAAAAACGGACGACAGGAACTGCAAGCGGACCTGAATTTGCGTCACATGCGAGTACAGCGGTATTCCATTCTGATTTAACACTATGCCGAGAGTGCCGGACTGCCGACCGCTCCGCCCTGCCTCGGTGGTGTAGTGTTTCAGATTGTTGAAGAAATGGTGCATCATGCGATGGTGCCGTTCGGCCCACAGAACGACCTGGTGAGTAGTGACGTCCCTGAATTGTTGGAACGATGCGAACAGCTTCGGCAGCAATCGCAAACTCGTTACAACGCTACGGTTCTCCGCCAGGTTCTGCAGACATCCCTCGATGAACCGCGTTCGGATAATCTTATCCGTGTGAAAGCACAGAAGGGTACCAAGAACTTTCTCCGCTTCCAGGGCGAGGCATTCACCCAATTGACCCTGGAGAGAAAAAAAAACGCGATCAATAACGAAAGAAAATTAGCCTCGTAATCAAGGAACTTACAATCTTATCATCCTGTAACAAATCCCACAGCAGAGTATTTCCCGGCTGGCACACATCGGGGAACCTGTAATTTGGTGACGAAGGTGCTCCAAGACTTCCGCTACTACCAGCACTTCCACTCGCACTCGCAGCAGCAGCAGCGGCCAACATTTCCTTGGACGGTGCCTGTGGAGTCTTTCCTCCAATTGGCGTCGAACCCATCTTTCCCTTGCCCCCGGTGGACGTTGGAGTACCACTGCTGGACACACTGGGCGTCATGGGATGCGTCATCGGACCGATACTTCCGCCGGAACTCGACAAGCGATCGTGATGTGCCCGCGTCAGAGTGATATTTGGAGTATTCGTTCGGGCCTGCGGCGATCCATGTACCAAAGAGCCGGGTCCCAGAGAGCGTGGCCTCGGCAGTGGAAATTGCTGATGTAAACATTGTGCTCGAGCTGCCAGTTCAACCAGTTCCTCTTCACACGGGGAATCCTCGTCGTCAAAGTCACCCATGTTCTTTTCGGATTTGTTACTTAGCGGCGACGAGCAGCTTCCATCGTTCTCGGTGGCGTTCAAAAAGTTGATCAAATGTCCTTCACTCATGGCACCCATAAACGGTGGCACGTCATCGCCCACCACCGGTGGTCCTCCACTAGTGCCCGGTTCTGGCCCTACCGGACCAACTGGGCCATGATGACCGCCCATATGCCTCAGCACCGAGCTCTGCAGATTCGTATCACTACAGTCGCTATCCGGGAGCATGGCCGCCAGCAGGTCACTGTCCTCCACATCCGACACGCTCTCGGCCATCTCCTGCAGTTCCTTCCGGGTGAGTCCACTGATTTTCTTCCGCTTCTTCCGGAGCATCTTCTTGCGCATGGTGGAAAATGCTTCGCTCATGTCCAGGCAGTCCTCTTCGCTGCTGGTGCCGGCATCCTCGGTGAAACCGGAAGCGGCCGCCAGGGAACGGCTCATCAGTGGAATGCGCCTGCAAGGGGAATTAATTGATTAGCTGGACATTAAACCTTCCGGAAGAAGCTTTCTCATGTTTCCAGGGAAGCATTCCAAGCTTCCGGAAGACGATTTTCAAGCTTCCGTAGAAGCTTTTCAGATTTCCGGGAGTAGTTATTCAAAAGGATTCGAGAGAAGTTTTTAAAGGAGAAGCTGCTATTCCAGTTTTTGTGTAAAACATTTCAAGCTCTTAAAAGAAGCTTTTCGAGCTGTGGGAGAAGCTTTTCAATCTTCCTGGAAAATCATTTCAAGCTTATGGGAGAAGCTTTTCAGGAGAACTATTTTAGGCTTCCTACAGAAGCTTTTCAAGTTTCTATGAAAAGCTTTTCAACTTCCGGGAAATTCAAAGTTTCTAAGTAAACTGTTCAAACTTGCGGTGGAAACTGTTCAAGCTTCCAGGAGAAGCTTTTTAAACTTCCGGGAGAAACTTTTCAATTCCGGTAGATAGAAGCTTTAACTTTCTGGAGAATTATGTCATCCTTCTTGACGACACTTTTAAGAGAGAAGCTATTCCAGCTTTTAGGTAAAACATGCCAAGCTCTTAGGAGAAGCTTTTCAAGCTTCCTATAAAATAATGTCATGCTAATGGGAGAACTTTTTTAGGTTTCCGTTAGAAGCTTTTCAAGTTTTTAGGAAAAGCTTTTCTAATTTGCAGGAAAAGCTTTTCTAATACCGGGAAATGTTTTCCAAATTTCTAAGATATACTGTAGAAGCTTGCGGGAGAAACTTTTCAAGCTTTCAAAAAAAGTTTTTCAAGTTTCTAAAGGAAGCTTTTCAAACTAAAAGGGGAAGCTTTTCAAACTTCCGGGAGAAACTTTTTGCGTATGGCAGAAGTTTTTAAAACATCCTGGTTTTCAGGAGAACTTTTTTAGGCTTCCTACAGAAGCTTTTCAAGTTTATATTGAAAGCTTTTCATGTTTCTAGGAAAAGCTTTTCAAGTTCCGGGAAATTCAAAGTTTATGAGTAAACTGTTCAAACTAACGATGGAAACTGTTCAAGCTTCCAGGAGAAGCTTTTCAAACTACCGGGAGAAAGTTTTCAACTCCGGTAGATAGAAGCTTTAACTTTCTGGAGAATTATGTCATCCTTCTTGAAGACACTTTTAAGAGAGAAGCTATTCCAGCTTTTAGGTAAATATGCCAAGCTCTTGGGAGAGGCTTTTCAAGTTCCTGTAAAATAATGTCATGCTAATGGGAGAAGCTTTTCAGGAGAACTTTTTTAGGTTTCTGTTAGTAGCTTTTCAATTTTTTAGGAAAAGCTTTTCAAATTTGTATGAAAAGCTATTCTAGTTCCGGGAAATGTTTTCCAAATTTCTAAGATATACTATAGAAACTTGCGGGAGAAACTTTTCAAGCTTTCAAAAAAAGTTTTTCAAGTTTCTAAAGGAAGCTTTTCAAACTAAAAGGGGAAGCTTTTCAAACTTCCGGGAGAAACTTTTTGCCTATGGCAGAAGCTTTTGAAACATCCTGGAGAATAATTTCATCCTTCTGGGAGAAGCTTTTTAACTTTCCGGGAAAAGTTTTTCAGTTTCTGATAGAAGCGTTCCATGAAGCTTTTCGAACGATCAGACCGACTCAAACCTGAGTCGGTTTGATTCAATTTACTCAAAAGTGAGATGAATTTTCCTGGCTTCTCCAGGGAAAACTTCTCAAATATGAGGAAAATCGATAGAGATTTCTCTCAGTCTATTAGTATACTCCTAGACTGGTTAAAATTTCATGGATTTTCTTCACATTAGACAAGTTTTTCACGGCTTTTGCCCGGAAAATCAACTCACTTTTGAGTAAATCCACTTTTGACGAAATTGAGTCGACTAGAAAACGACTAGACTGGGGAAGGTGAATCAGATTTGCAAAACTTACATTTTATCCTTCAACCGCTGGTCAACGTCGTAGATGTCCGGTTCTACCTTAATACTATCTGTAAATGAAAAGCAAATGCATTAAACACTGCTGCAGTCACGCCAGTGCATCGCCAAATCCACAGAAACCCACCATCGGTCGTCTCATCACAGCAGTTCTTGTGTCTCGCTTGTTTGCAAGGGGGTGGTGCCGCCACTCCGGAGTCCGATTCATCTGCCTCCATAAGGCTGGCAACGGCAGCTGCTGCTATCGCCGCCGCCGCCGCTTTGACCGCAGTGTTCTTCTGTCCTACGACTGCTGCGGCCACGGCTCCCGACGACAACGAGGAAGGACCAGCAACGATGGGTGGAACCGCACCCGGCGGTATTCGATGTGTTCGTGCTGACGCGGCAGCGGCCACGGCTGCAGCTGCTGCAGCCGCAACCGCACTTACTGGGTGATCCGGATCGGAACTGTCCTCTTCCTGGGGTTCGTCTTCGCTGTTGCTCCCATCGACGGAGACGGAATTCTCCGAGCTGGATGGTAAGTCGGCTTCTCGAACGGCAGCTGCCGCTGCTGCTGCAACTGCAGCAGCTTCCCGGAGAACGTTATTTTTCGCCAGGTCCATCAGTGTTAGACGGGAGCAGTCCCGGGCCCAGATTAACTTGGTCAGAGCTGATGCAATGTAGATGGACTGTTCGGTGTGCTCCTTGGGATCGAGACGGGAAAGAAGCGCGTATAGATGAGACGCGGGACGTGGAGCAAGGTTCTTCACCAGCGACGGCAGAATGTCGTAGATAGGTTTGGAGCAATGTTTCAGCTGAGCTGCTTGCCATATGAGGGTAATGTGCTCCTCGGTTATTTGATTCTCGACGGCTAGAAAGTTCAACACGATGTGGCTCTGCTTGATGACTTCCACGTGCAAATTCGGTCCAAAGAGATGGGAGATTATCTGGTTTTCCGTTAACCAATCGGCCAGTTTTTGGCCGACGACTTCCACCTCGGCAACGGTTTCCGTGGTGCAGATCTCGTTGAACAGGTTGATGTGGGCGTTGATCTGAGCCATTCCTGCCAATCGCATCGTCAGCGTCGAACTGGTGAAGTATTTGAATGCCAGCGCTAGGCCCTCCGTGTCGAAGGTTATTTGCGAATCCAGCGGATCTTTGATCGCCGTCCACATGAAGTCTGCCATCGACTTGGTCGCCGGGGATCGCAAATCCTGATCCGATAGCTTACACATGTACTGCAAAATTTTCACTCGTATCGGAATAAATAGTTGAATGATCGAACGATAGTTGATCCAGAGTTTTAGATTGGAAATGGCCGCCGTGATGGCATGGGCAATCGGAACCGGCAGATTCTGGTGGTCAAAGCTACTCATCATGGCATCGAATCCACCGGAGGTGCAAAACAGGGAAACGTTCCTCAGCAGGAATGCCGGGATTTCGTTATCGTGCAGGTCGCAAAAGATGCTCAAAGTTTGCGCTTCCTGCGGGGAAATTTCGTCCATCCGGGCGTGAACACCATGCTTGTAGGCGACGTAGAGGGGAAAGTTGAGCAGAAATGCCTTGGACGATAGCAGCAAAAGCTTCTCAACATCTAGCAGCGTCCAGCAGTCGTCTAGTGTGGCAGCCTCCGACTGCTGTTGCTGCTGCTGCTTCCGTTCCTTCTGCTCCTCTTCGCCTTCCTGCTTCTCTGACTTGGCATCATCCTGAACAACAACAACAGGCTGTTCATCTAGCCCTTTACCGGAACCTGGCTCTTCCTTCTCGTCATCTTTACTACTGGTCGACGAGGAAGACGACGACGACGGCGACGCTGATGATGACGGTGAGGAGGACGACGGTCCTGCAGCCGCTAACTTCTGCTCCTCACGGTCCAGCAGAGCCTTGATGTTCTTCAGCTGATACACCGTAAAGTAGACGATGGCCTGCACTACCAAGTTGAAGCGCTCGAAGTTCTTCGGATCCCGGTAGCAGCACATGCACTGCCGCGCCGGCCAGCACTGGATGTAGCCGATGACGGTTTCGATTTCGCGCTTGGCGAGAAACACCGGATGTTCCGTTTCATTGTTGGCGAGACGGGATTCGTCTGGAATGGAGAGAGGGGAGGGGAATTGATTAGACTTCAGTTTTATGTTTTGAACAATTACAAAAAATGCATGTAAAGTTGAATTAAATCGAAGACATCATATCAAGAAGACTGGCAGAATCCAAGCGACAGATACAATAGCGCTACGCTTGAGTGAAGGTGGAAGCAACGCATAGAAAATGAGCAAATACACAAACCTTTCTTCTGAGGATGTAATCTTTGCTATCAAATTCGTTCGAAGCATTTACCTTTGAGCAGCAGATGACGTTCGTATGAGAAAATGGAAGAGTTGCCAGTCTTCTTGATTTGTTGTCTTTGATTAAATAGAATAGTGGCGTCGGATTAACCACAATCTATTCGGCGGAATTTCTAAAAGTGAAAAAATGGAACTTATATACATTGGGACAATTTTCAACACTCTGAAACTTCGAAAATGTTTCAAGATCTCTGTCTGAAAAGCATGTGCCTTGCATGAATTTATTAAATGCCTTTTAGAATCTTGAAATTCCAGAACAAATTGTGATTAGGGCGAAACTAGCAAAATGTTAACAAATGTAGAAAAACCGAGCACGTTTGCACGTTTTCAATTATTTTTAATTAAAGGTTTAGCAATATTTTTTACAAAGCAATTAAATTTATGATCGTAAAATTGATGCACTTTTATTTGTGTTGAGTGTAAAAATTTTCTTTTGTTAATTTTCTCTTGAAAACTCGTCATTTTCATATGTTAAGAATACGCCCTCATTAAATCGCCCCTAACACGATATTGAGCTTTTATTCGCAAGAAATTGGCGATTGAAGTGTTTGTTTACAAAAACAATTACACCCAAATCTCGAATCAGTCCTGATTTGCTAGTAGATCCTTGCCTCATCCGTCTGATTGCTGTGAAATCTCAGTTTTTTTTTACATTTGGCTAGTTTCGCCCTAACCACAATTTACTCCGGAATTCAATGTTCAATCCGCACATAAAATAAAATAAATCTTTGGGAACAATTTTCATAATTCTCCGTCTTTGATTTTTTTTTGTGAATTAATTTATTTGTACAGGATCAATCGAATAAACTTTACAGAGCCAAGTTATCATTTGTGTTATACATTATTGATGTCTTAAATCTAAAGTTAAAGGAATTGAACCGAATACTCGCGGTCGTCTCGAGGTTAGTGGAGATTTACCGGTTTATGGATGGGGAGAGGGAGAAGGAGATTGGAAATATGATTTATGATACAAATATTTCATTATTCCTAAAACATGAACTTATTTCTATTCAACTTGATATCCAAAAAATCCACATACACAAAATACAAACTAAAAAAAAGGTTAAACAAACTTACAGTCTACGGTAAATATTCTTCAAGAAAATGGGCCTTATTACGGGTGTCACTACACGGTGATAATCAAGTGATACTCAGAATAAGAGCCGTGATTGCCATACAAATCAAATGGGAATCACTTCACCGTGACGACAAGTGACAAGTTTTCACCGTTAAGTGACATCCGTAATAAGCCCCAATATATATGAGTATCATAAACTCCAGATTGCGTCCAGCCAAAATATTCCGAGCCCGAAGGGAATCGTTCGACTCAGATCTGACTCCACGATGCTCAGCACATGACCAAATATTATGATCCGCGTCCTGGTAACCTTGTCCACATTCACAGAGCTTGCTGTCCCCCAGCCAGGCTTGCCTAAACTCCTCGAACTCAGATCATACCGTATAGATGGATGCTCATTCATCGTGAGCTAGTTCATCTCTCACATATAAAGAGCAATGATGTCAAATCCAAAGAGCGCAAAAGAGCTCGAGCTCAGATTGATGCTCAAGCTGGACTTCCACAAACACGCATCACGATGAGTGATGCGGGGTTCGTTCTTGAGTGAGTCGTGATTCACTTCGGGATTTTGAACTTCGGGATGGACTCGATGAAACCGTAAATATAGAGCTTCGTTATGCACTCGGAGAAAGCACGCACGGCCTTTGATTGATGCACGGTTCTTCTATTCAATATTACGATACAAACAATGCATTCAATGGACTATTTGCAGAGAACGTAACATTTTTATAGATTGATGTTTTTTTGGGTTACTCAAACTCAGTCACAAAAATCTTTGATCGTTTTTTCCGCTAAGTGCTTTATGAGTGGATAAACGAAATTATATTTCTGACTTAGAATGTACGAGGGAAAAACTAGTAAAAGCACTAATTACTCCGTTTATGGATTATCCCTTGGTGTTCGTATTCCCCTGTTGCCTTTTAACATGTTTACTCATTCAATTCGCTACCCCGTGTGTGCAGTAGCTCGGAAATCTTTCTGGACCAACAATTGAAATAGGCGAACAACCCAACGTAAGCAATGGCTTTAAACACAAAATTCTCGAGAATCAAAACACTACCACGTACACTAAAATTGCCATTCGATAAAGGAAGTTTGCTCGATCAGATAATGGTGCTAGATTATTTGAGAGAACATGAATTGAAAATATTCCCCATTTCAATCTCTCCCCATTCCCGATTCCCGGATTTTCAAAACCGCCGAAAGTGTACCAAAAAATCATTTTGTTTTAATTTAAATCAATGTTAATTGAGACGTTATTCAATGAGCGCGTGATAACTATAGGTTGCATAATTATCACGCGTTCATCGATTAAAATTTGAAATAATCAGCTGGGTAAAAAATGTATTTACTCTACCTTAAAATTCAGCATAGCATTAAATTTGCAACTTGCAACTCATACATGATGGATAGCGTAGAAATTTCTATCTCTGAATAGAGGAACTGACGGCTTCGGCATGACAGACTATTTTCGGCAACCCAAATTGAAACACTATTTTCACTGGATTTTCTTACGAAAACACTTCGCTGAATGCATGCAAACGATTCTTTATGCTTTCAGCTTCAATTTGACTATATTTTTACCACTGAGAAAAAGCAATCTAGCAAGGTTTTCTTGAAATGAAACACACGCACTACAAATTGTAGCTGATTTCGAGTTGCCGATAATAGAACAGCAGATTTACATGCAGTTCAAATGGAACGGTTGCCGAAGAAAAACTGGTTGCCGACAATACTCGCTCTCACTAGAGAAGATTGGAGCTTTGTTAAAGCGTTTCAAAACAGTTTTTGACAATTCTTTCGACTGAAATTGTTAGAGCAGCTGGCAGCAAAAGATTGTAAACAAACCAATACTGCATATGTGTGCGTTCCATAGAGAAAAAGGCTATAGAAAGAAGGCCGCTGCTTAGGTTGCCGAGAATACGTAAATTCCCCTATATGTATTCCCCGCATAACCCAATATCTCTTGAATCTCAATTGCGATTTTAGTTTTCGACACAAGAGATGATCCGATATACGATGACGAGACAGTTGAAATGCCGAAATCGTGGTTCAGTTTACAAACACGGGAGCTATTCTGCTTTTCCTAAAATAGGAGCGTTTGCCGAGAATATAGACAGTTACCCTACGATACAATTCAAGCTGAACATTGCATTAGGTCCAAAGTAACATAGACAGATTCTCTTCGTCGACTTTCTTTTGTTTGTCTTTTTCATCAGTATGTCGCTTAGTTCGAGATCAAGAGCACGTTGCTCTCCAAACCTTGTGTTCTCAATCCCTACCCTGCCATCCATTTGTTGCAATTTGTTACCCCTAGCCTCGAGATAGCCGCGAGTAATCGGCCCCCGGCGTTAGTTTTAAGTCGTTTTGTTATCTAAACAATGAATAATGACTCCGCAAAGCTACAGCAAATGAGCCTGGAAAAATAAACACATTATTAAAAAATTATCCTAGATTTGAACAAATGTTTCAACTCTGAACACTGCGCCGACATATGATAACTTTGTCACGAAAAATAAATTTCTGGTCTGTATGACCCTTATAAACTCGGAAACTACTGAACAGATCGGCGTGAAAATTTGTATGCAGGGGTTTTTGTCTAGTGTTAAGTGTTCAATCTGTGCAACCTCTGGTTGAAGATGGTGTCAATTGTCTGTTGTCTTCCCATGTAATAATCTTCAGAATTCCCTCTAAATTCCTCACTTGTCCCGTAAGCTCATTGAAATGCTCCTCAGATTTCCCTAGGAACAAGAACTGGAATTAGGGCGTAACAACTGTTGTAAACAATGCATTCTCTCGATGATTTCTAAAAATTCAAGGCACGCCCACGCAAACCAATATAACCATCAGGTAGAGGAAGTCTTCTCCTACCCGATGATAATGTAGATTTGCGTGGGCGAACTTTGACTTTCTAGAAATCATCGAGAAAAATCATTGTTCTAATTCCAGCTCTATCTAGTTTGCTTCTTTAGAAATTATAACACAACTAGCCTTAAAACTCTCCTAAATAGTCCTTTAAAATTTACCTAAAAAATTCGTTGAAAATTTCTTTGGAAATTTCATTAGAACTCCTTTGCAATATTCCTTAGATTTCCTTTGGGATGTACCTTAGAATTTTCATTGACTTCATTTAAGAAATTCAGTGTTCACTCGGCTGTCGACAGAAGCAGGTAACTCTGTGTGTTACGCGATCGTCTGTTTACTCGGCAGCAACCATTGTGTGGTCCTCCTCATTGTTCTTCATCAGCAGTACTTTCAGTCGATGCGTCGTCGACTTTGGAACGAGATGCCGCAACCGTTTCGTGATGAATGTGTGAGTACTGACCACGTTTTGCGTCCATTGCTGCAATGGAAGCGCTCTGCCTCCCGTTGGCGATACTGCCATACAATGAAACCGTTGGAAGCGGCTCCCATTCTGATGGAAGAGGCTTTTTGGATAGCGGAAGATAGTGTTTATTGATTATAGCTTTAAGATGTTTTGTATAGTGAACAAGAATCCTCGGCCCTGTAAGGTTAATTCGGTTGAGCCTTATCAAATAAATTAATGGACAAAAAAATAAGAAATTCCTTTGGATTCTCTATATTCTCTCGGCATTCTGCTCACAAATACCTTGGAGTTCCCCTTACATTTTTTTTTTAGAATTCTCAGAACTCTCTTTGGAATTA